CAAGTACTGCTAGCATCCTAGCCCAGGAGATGAAGCTGAGTGAAAATATGCTTAATAGATATTTACCTTGTTTCTTGGACAACTTTTTGTAACCCAGGAAGATGCCACTGCAGTTTGATCTCTACTGGTAAATAAGTAGCTTGGATATTTCTGCTGTGCACTGGGGACTCATAGGATAGACCAATCCTATGAAGTAAATGGGTGTCTTGTATGAGACCCAGTTTTATTGAAAAACATTTTTTATGTGTCGATAGCTAATGAAATATTCATCATTATGGAGAAGAGCTTTGAAATCATTGCACTTATAAGCGAAACAGCTCTCTGATTTACCTCCTCCTTTCAGCCGCTTTTGCTGGTGGGGCAGCTCCCCAGCTGCTTATCCTTGCACAGCCCTGTGCTGTGATGTGCACTAGTGGGGCTGCCCAGAGAGCTTGGTAGCAGCTTTGTTATGGGTAGGAGCTTTCTTGAGGTGAAAGTGCTGTGAGAGGAGAGACAAGTTCTTTGTACACTGTTAAAAGCAACTTCCCAAGAGGAGCTGAAAACACAAAAGGATTTTTTGCATGGGTACCTTGTGCCAACTTTGGCACGGGTACAGTTGTGCTAAGACAGTACAGAGACGCCTCACAGCTTTCACCATTGGTAAAATCTCTGTCAGTTGATACTGATACCCATACAATGCAATCTTTCAGATATATATATAGAGAGAGATGTATTTTTGTAGATGGCTTTTACAATTTTGTACCACTGCTCGGGGAAGAGTGAAGTTTCACTTTGATCTTCTGAGCATTGGGCATCTCCTTGAACAACACACACTAAAAAAACAGTCTTTCCTCCTCTAACTACATTTGAAAAGAAGAATGACACTCTATTCCCATTTCATAAGAAATAGGATATGTGTTTCCTCAGGGAATAATCCAGGGCAGCAAATCCCAAGTCGAGACAAGTGTCTCCTGGCAGTGCTGAGTCAGGAATGGGAACCCCAGAAGGAGATGAATTTGAGATCCTGTCATCTCTCTGCTGCCAGCCCAAGGTCACCCCCTCCTAGCTTGATTGGGTTTCCCCAGGGCCCAGCCTTCCCAGATACTGCCCATGATGCACTGGCACTCAACAGAGGCATTGCTATGGAGGTAGGCCACAGCAAACAGGTTTGCAACACTCAGACTTGCCTTATGAAATCAGGTTTTATTCTTAACTCTCATCCCTTTCAAGCATGAAGCACCTGCAAGTGTATGAGTTGTGGATTGCACAGTGACTTTTAAACTCTGTTGCAGTTTACTGTTCTGGACAAAACTTAAATTCCCATTTCTAAGTGGTCTTATTCTCCTCAAAGCTTCAGTAAGCCTATAATGAGGCATAATAAAGTCCTGATTAAATTAATAGTTTGCTCTGCTCTTGCTTGATTTCGTCTGAATAGTCATCTATAGAGGTTTTCTTAAGTGTGTTCAAGTGGGACACGAGGTGAAGCTCTCCCCTAATACTCTACCACACAACTGCCTTACTGACAGTAACTCCCTGCCAAATTTATACCAGTAGCCAAAGCTGGCAAGGAGAGTTTTGTCAAATATACTGAGTTTTGTGGCTAGACATAGTAAAGAGCCAAAAATTATGTTTCCTGTAGGAAATTTCCTGAACACAGAACATACAAATTATGTTTGAATGTGCATCATTACATTGACCTTTACACAGGACTCTGCAAAGGATTGGTACAAGCCAGTATGACAAGCCAGTATGAAATTCTTTGGTAAATAAGGTTTATAATGTGATCAGAACCTCCTCTGAAATTTAAGTTTGACATGTGAAATACACTATTAAATGGATGTTTCGTGCTTTCTTGGTTTTAGGACTCATGCAAGTTAATGCATGTGTGGTGACGAGGTCAATATGGAATCTGAGGCATCATTTCGGGCATGTACTAAGCTGTACAGAATTGCACGGCCCTTTCATTCACAGATGTTTGGCATGAAGAACACACCGATTTGTTCGCTAAACATCCAAGCACAATGTATAGCAAATCATACTGTAAAACAATCCAAACCATTTATTAGCAAACAGCCTGTTTCGCCTGCCACCAAGTGAGTATGTCACAGATATGAATAGTTCCCTACTCATTCCCTTACTAATTTGAAACATCCCTTTGACCAGTGAAGAGCAACCCTGGAATGGAAATGCATAAATGCGTGTCCATAGCTCGTCCTCTTAAAGGGGGCTTGGAGTATTACACATTGGAAGATCATGCATATTAGGCAGAAAATAGGATAAAGGGGTTCCCCTTGATGTGTAAGAGGAAAATTTGCATGCTTGGATCTCAACAGTCAACGAAATCTGGAATAAAAAAGAGCTAGTGGCACACAGAGAGCCATGCCCTAATGCAAGAGGGCACCTGAAAAATCTCAACAGGCCAAAATGACCTTGCATATCTAAATAAAAAAGGTCAGTTTTAATCATGGTGACAAGTGCATGCAAGTGTGCCAAGTCAATGATTTAAATAGTGTAACTTGGTCAGGCTTGACCCCAAGTCCATTCCTGATGTGAATTTGGAAACAAATTGAGTGAAAGAATTAAACAGAGCAGTCTCCAAGCCTGAACTTTTGCATCTGACAGTAGTCATTTCATTGAGACAAGAAAATAGCTGCTCTGTTTTGCTAGCACTAACCCTGAGCAATTGATAAGGCAGAAGAAGAATCTTGATAAAATCTCCATTCCCTTATTTGCCGGTTCTGAAAAAATACCCTTCCAATGCATGCAAGTGCCAGTGGTGTCATACCCCTGGCAACCTCTCCAGGGAAAGAGCAAATGGCAGCTCTCAGGGAAGAGCAACTGAAGAAAAAAAAAAAAAAGAAAAGCAAGAAAAGAAAAAAAAACCCCAGGGAGGAAACTAAAAAACATTTCAGGAGAACTGAAGCGATCTGTCTTAAAATCACTTCTAGAAAAGAGAAATATGTAGATAAAAATGAGAGGAATACATTTTTTAGCATAAAGAAAGAAGAGGAAGGTTAGACAGGGCAAAAAGAAAATGGAACTGGAGAGGTGCAGAGAGAGAGACCGAAGAAAGAAGGGGTAAGCAGGAGACAAACAGCAAGTAGAAGTGGCCAAAATGTCTTCATTTTTTGATCATTGATAGGTTCAGAACTGGGGGAAAAGCAAAAGGAAAGAATTTTTGTAAGCAGCAAAGAAGTTTAGATAGCCACAGCAATTTTCCTACCCAGAAAAAAAATAAGTGTTGCCATCAAATTCTTCATCCCTTTTGTCAAGGATGTGGCAGGGTGCTTTACAGTGTCACAAAAGACAGAGCCACAGGACCTTATGTCAGATGCAGACAGGCACTGCATGTTAAGGACTGAAAAACAGTTCATAAAACCCTTAGTCTCAACAACTCTTAGTCCTCCCTTGCCTTCCATTTCCATTCTGGAATCATGGCTAATATTAACAAATTTTAACTCTAACCAGCTAAAGAGAAGTATAAAATAACACAATCAGAAGTATTGTCTTTGAAATTACAAGCAAACAAATTTATTTTCTTGTAATCATTCTCCATAAATCTTTTATTAATACTTTGCTGAAATTGTCATTAACTGTCATTAATTGCTGATTGGTTTTTTAAACATTGTCAAGAACAATTGCACAGACAGACTGTTTTATTACATGTATCTGGTCCTCTTTTTGCCCTCAGAAGCACCTTAAACTCAAGGCCCTAATGTCTGAAATATCTGTGTGGAAAGCACAAAGCTTTTTCACAGAATCACAGAATATGCAAAGTTGGAAAGGACCCACAAGGATCATCAAGTCCAATTCCTGGCCCTGCACAGGACCATCCCCAAGGGTCACATCATGTGCCTGAGAGCATTGTCCAAATGCTTCTTGAACTCTGTCAGGCTTGATGCTGTCACCACTTACTTCCCTGGGGAGCCTGTTCCAGTGCCCAACCACCCTCTATCTGAAGAACCTCTTTCTAATATCCAACCTAAATCTCCCCTGACACAACCTCAGGCCATTCCCTGTGATCCTGTCACTGGTCACCACAGAGAAATGATCAGTGCCTGCCCCTGCTCTTCCCCTCACAAGGAAGTTGTAACTGCAATGAGGTCTCTCCTCAGTCTCCTCTTCTGCAGGCTGAACACACCGAGTGCCCTCAGTTGCTCCTCATACGGCTTCCCCTCAAGGCCCTTCACCATCTTCATTGCCCTTCTTTAGACACTCCCTAATAGCTTTATGTCTGTCTTATTTTGTGGTGACCAAAACTGCACACAGTATTCAAAGTGAGGCTGCCCCAGTGCAGAGCAGAGTGGGACAATCCCTTCCCTCGACCAACTGTTGATGCTTTGCCTGATGCCCAGAGAATGCAGAGAAAAACAAATGCCTTGGGCACAAAGCATCTGACTTATTTTGTGTTTCTACTTTAAGCTATTCTGAACCATGTTTTATTAGTACCTGTTTTTCTCCATTGGCTGTGAAGATTGTCAGGTCACCACAGGTGTATGTATCTGTGCTGGTCAGATGAGTCTACTCCTACCAAACACAGTGTGGTTTTATGGGTTTTATGGTGAGTTGGACACAACTGGTCATCATCCCAGTTTGAATGATGTAACACTTTGAGGAGGAAGGCCAGGACTCCTCCGAGGCAGAGCCCAACCAGCATCCCAGCCTCTCTTCCAGAGATAGAGGTGATGGTGGAGGACGCTCCTTCCAGCAGCCTTCATCTCATGTAACAGGTACACCTGTATCTATTACAGGTATCCAAATTAGCATGGGCACACCAATAGCACATCATGAGACCTCAGGATCAGACCTCTCGCCCTCCAGGTGGATCATGATGCTTGACAAATTTTAACTACTGATTTGGTCCGTGTTCAGAAAGGGAAAAAGAGATAGGAAAAGTTCAGCATTGTGATGTACCTTACATGTCCTTGCTTTCAATCTATATTGACAAAGAAGATGTTTATCTCTGTTCTTTCTTTTCTCCCCACCCTGCCTATACATCACCGAACCTGGGATCACCCAAGGAAACCAATGAGAAAAGAAGAGAACGGAACCAGTCGGTCCGAATATGCAATGACCTCCTCCCAGAACAACAAAACAGTTGATAACAATGCGGTTGTATAATCCCTGAAACCCCGCCAAGGGCGCAGGAGGTGGTAAACTTTCAAAGCACACACATGGAGTATGCAAGGTGGGTGAAATAAGGCAACGAAGGGAGCTGTGTGGCCAAGGACTTCCATTTCAGAAACAGCGCACGCATCAGTGATCCAGAAGGGAAAAGCAGGCTGCTCTCCAGGCTTGCTGCTTCTCCAAGGGAGGATAAACTCACCCACCTGGGCTGCCCGGAGAAAAGGCCTCACAAAGGCATAAGCATTGCATGCTGCATCTCATGAAAGCGATGTTGCGATGCCTCCCGCTTTTCTTCTTCCTCTCTTCCCCCTTACTTTTATGTTTGTATTGAGTGTCCACAAAAAGCTGCTGAAGTAGGGTCTTTTGAGGAGAGGGTGATCTGCCAGGGTGGTAGCAGCTTTTCATAAATCAGTCAGAGGGAGGTGTCTCCCTCTATATGGGAGGACACCTCCCTCTATATGGTGGGAGGTGTTACCTACGTGCTTCTCCAGCCTGTGCAGTTTTGTACGCTAATAATTCATTCTTAGCATTCTTATTATTTCATTATTAAAAGGGGAACAAAGGTTTTTGTTAAGCCATCAAGGAAAATTTGCGTGAACTTGTGACTTGTCCCAGGAAATTTATCCGCAGTCTGGTGACTATGCAATTTCGACAGCTGAAGACTTTTCAGGCAAAAGAAATCAAAATGTAAGATTTTAGCAATTATCATTGCTATTGAAAGAGAGATGTTATTAAGAGGTACTTTGAACGTTATTACTTCATAATCAGACTCTTTTTTTTCATGACATTTAAATTTTATCTTTAAAAATGTCCTTCCTTTGCAAAATTCTACACATTTCTCTGGGTTTGCATCATGTTGATTCCCCAGGGAAACTCCTACAGGAAAGATATTGTTTACATCTTGGCGTATTTGGGCGGGATTGTGTTGAAAGGACTAGCAGCCCTTTGAAGTCCTCTTCATTCACTGGCTAGTGTTCTTTTCTTAAAGTGTTGAGTCTCCTGAACTGACCCACTAGGGACATTGCAGGTCTGGCTTGGAGGACCACTTTTGAGGGTCCAGTAAGCTGGTTGTGCCCACGTTAACTCAGTCTCTGCCTCTCCTGAGCCGAGAACGCCGATTATGCCAAATTCAGTGTAATAGCTTAGTATACGTTCTGTGAGGTGGATTGCAGACTATTTAAAGCAAGGCTGAATCTACCCAAATTCATTTAATGTAGGATCTCAGGTTAGACTCAGTAAGTTACCCTTAGGATAAAGGTGATGAGACTAGTTGAGATGCTGGTCTTTCCCCATCTCCTGAAAACTTTTTTTCGTGTCATACCTCCACGTGTATGTCTCCGTTTACCTCTGTGCTGAAAGTAATGATGCAGTCAAAGACAAATTTACACCCTGGCTTCTTGTCCAGGCATAAAGCTTCAATACCACTGAGTCTCCGCGTCTGTGAGTAACTCCCAGGTGTCAACCCCGTCTCTGGGATGTGGCTGTGCCCTGGCTGTTATGTCCCTCGGTACTGCAGCACACCAGTTTTATATAAGGATGTGCCTGAACTGCAGAAATCAGACCTTGATTTGAATGCATTCCTGCCTGCAGTTGGTCTATTACTGAGATGCAGAGTTTGGCCTGATGGTAGAGGAAGACAGTGTTCTGCAGACCTTCCCCAAAAGAAGCTCTGGGACGTTCAAATCAGCAGTTTCAGCTCAGGCCCATCTGTAGCTTTCTATTACCTGTTGAACAGTAGGGTGTATGTAAATATAAGTATCTTTTTAATGATAAAATGAAATGCTGCTATATACTGCTCTTGAGAAATTTATGGATTTATTCATTTAACTTTTTAGTCTGTCATCACTATGTAAAAGTTTAACCACATAAAATTATTTTTTAAAGCTAGATCCTCTTGGGAAATGAATGCAATTACAAAAGTGAAAGGGAATAAGTAACCCTTTGCCCAAGAGTACGATCATTCCCAGACACAGTCATTTTGTGTGCTTGCACAAGACAGAGTGATATGTTCTTAGATCCAAAGTGGGATTAAAATGACAGGATTTACACTTTGTGTCTAGTATCCCAAATGATGATTGCCTGAAGCACTTAGTTCCTAAATACTATAATAATAATATTACAAGTATATTTCTAGAATATTTTTAAGCTATAACATTTATTTTGATGTAGTTACCTATGTTTGCCTTTCTTTTTTTACTCCACTTGTTTCAGCCTAAATGTGAAAACGTTGCATAGTTTGAGACTGGTTGCATGTGTCTCTGAGAGTATAAAGTATGAATGCAGATAAGTTTAGCATGATACAGGCTCAGGATTAGCACTTTCTCCTAAAGGTTGTTGGTTTTATTTTATTCCTAATTCAGCTTTAAAGGCATGTTCTGTACGATGAGAATTACAACAAGTCCATCAAAATGCATCTGTTTTTGCAAGAAAGAGATGGTCACTAGACACTGTCTGATTTTCATTGATGTAAATGGTAAAATGTCCTCACTAGAGAAGACCCTGGTGCATGACACAACCCACAAACAAACTCCCCCAGGCCTCCTGAGGACTCCTCAGGAGAACATAAACATTAAAAACTTCATGGAGAGCAGGGAGGCAGGGCATTGCAAGAAGTAGCACATGTGGACTAGGATCTGTTTTCAACTCTGCCACTGAATCTGCTCTTTACTAGCAAGTAATTTTGCCTCTCTGTGCCTCAATTTACCCATCTGTATAATCAAGATAAAAGTACGTACCAGCTCTGTGGCAGTATTTTGAGAGATATAGATGTAGCTTATTTGCATAGGCAGATATACACTATTGTTATATGCAACATGCTGATAAATGTATCTGGGCACATAATCACCATAATAGTTCTTGGAACAGACATTTCCCTTGTGCTTTTCTAGTGCGTTGGCCACAGAAGAGCAGCAGCAGACAGCCCAAGAGCTGCTCCTCTGCTTGCCCAGATACTTAGCTCTCAGCCCTCACTCCATGGCACGGCAAGGAGAGGTGGGAAATCTTCCATGAGGTAGTTTTGCCTTTAGATTCCTACCTAGGTACAGTTGACTACACTGCACGGAAATTTAAAGTGATATTCAGAAGTGCTTAGAAAAGTATACTGGAAGCAGATGTAAGTCTTCAAAAAAGAAAGGCTAGAAGGGCATTGTCTCTCAGGAGTGAATTCAGAAGCCTGCTGATGTGGTATGAGCTTGTGTTTAACACTCTACAGACTACTTGCAAAGCTTTTATAAGAGAGGCTTCTGTGCTTCCTTATTGTACTATAATTAAATACAAAAGGAAAGGAGTAGGCCTGATGGATAAGCGCTTCACTAAGCAGTGATCCTGGATCTGGGGAACTGGCAATCTAATATGCAGCTTTAAAAGCATTTTGAGTTCCTTTTTAGCCACCAAAGCATCAGAGATAGAACAGTCCTTCATAGTTCATAGCTCCATTCACAAAATAGCCGGATCCCCAGCAGATGCAAAGGTGACCAGTTTCTACACAGAAGTTACCTGTTCTGCTCTGACCACCACCAGACAGACTGAGCAAACTGCTGTGCTCAGTCTGAGGGAGAGCAGCCACTCAAAATCTCTTCTCAAGGATCACCACTAGCGGGGAGTGCACTTTAAGGGCCTGAGCTGTTGAGTTTCCTTGTTCCTCAGCAGCATCAGGAAGGTGGAGCTGCCACCCTTCCTCACCCACACCCAACTCAGCGGTGTGCCTCGGAAAGCATCTCTGCCTTGGACAGATGCTGCAAAAACAGACATGGAAGGAAAGAGGAAAGTTCTACTAAGCATAAGATATAAATATATTGAGATATATATATCTATACAGAGACCTAATTGTCCGGTCTTGCATGCCATATGGTCACAGCATGTGAAGAAAGTGTGGGCATCCTGCTCCAACCAGGTCATGACCATAGACACTGCCAAGCAATGGAGAATCAGGCCTATGGTAGATATGTATTTACAATACTCCTTGCACCTGTACAAACAAAAATATATTATTTTAAACTGCAACATAGTGTGTTTAAATCAATGCATGAATGTAAATATTCTAAGATCTGCCTTCTTGACTGTGTACCACATGTACAGATGAAAACAAATATTGTTTATAGGAAATCTGTATCAGTGGTTAAATGATTAAAGAGAAAAAAATATCAAAATTAATGTTGTCATGTTTCTCGAAAGCCATTAATATATATTTAGTATTTAAGGATATTGCTCAATAAGTATGTTCTGTACCAAAAACTGTGTTGCATATACAGATTGTGCAGTACCCTATTTTAAAAAGCCACCATAATTAATTTTTATTTTAAATAAAAATGTACTTGTAAAAAGTTTCCTGTGTCCTGTCAGTTATATAGTTGAGAACAGCCTACATGTTGAAGGGAGGAATGGCTGCAGTGCCTCTTCAGCACTCTTTTATTGCCCAAATTCACCCTGCTTGCATGAACACTTTCTGTTATGGTTTTGGAGAAGCTTGGGGCTGCTGCTTGTGCATGTGTCCAGCCAGGTTCTGGTTCTATCTCACCTAAACCTGCAGTTTAATCCCAGATATGTGCACTGCTGGTGCTGTGTAAGCAAAGGAATTACACTCAGACATTCCTGCAGCCCCACAAAGTTCATGAAACCCTTTCTCTTTATGCTGAGAGGCTGGAAGTTTCCCGAACAACATAGTCTAGTTTTAGACTTGTTTCTTTGTCTTTCACATAACACTACATACCTTTATTTATTTTGGTGCAAGAGATAATGTGCATCATTTTATATTCTAACTCCCTGGGTGGGCTTCACCCTCCCTTTTCCACGCAAGAGCAAAAGCCAGTTATGGACCAGTCCTTCAGCAGACCAACACTGACACAGAGTAATTAAACCCGTGTCCTTTTGCTGGTATTCACCCCTCCCTGTTCAGAGCACACCCTGCGTGAGGTTCTCTGAAGCCAAGGGGCTGCCACCACCTGAACCCCTCCTTTACAGTGGAGTCTTCCTTCCCCAGCCACAGAAGGAGGCTGAAGTAATTTCCCAGGGACTGCCAGGTACCTGACTGAGGTCAGTTGAACACCAGCCATGGGATGGGAGGATTTTGTTATAAATCGGGAGGCATCTTGATTGTCTTTAGTTTCCAAGACAGTATTCCCTAACAGTTTTTGCTGGTCCCTTAGGAATTATTTCATGTCCCAGCTGGACAGAAACCTTAAATGGGACTGAGGAACGCTAATCATCTAGCATGGCAGGAGTATGAAGGGTCTGGAGCACAAGTCTTATGAGGATCAGCTGAGGGAGATGGGGGTGTTTAGTTTGGAGGAACAAAGGCTCAGTGGAAACCTTATCTCTCTCTACAGCTACCTGGAAGGAGGTTCTAACACGGTGGGGGTCAGTGTCTTCTCCAAAATAACAAGTGATAGGACAAAAGAAGATGGCCTCAAGTTGCACCAAGGGAGTTTTAGTTTGGATATTAAGAAAAATTTCTTCACCGAAAGGGTTATCAAGCATTGGACGAGGCTGCCCAGGGAAGTGGTAGAGTCACCAACCCTGGACCTATTTAAAAGACGTGTAGATGTGCCACTTAGGGACATGGTTTAGCGGTGAACATGGTGGTGCTAAGTTAGTGGTTGGACTTGATGATCCTTTTCCGACATAAACAATTCTATGATTCTATAATGAAAAGTGATCAAGTGGCAGTTTAATGAATTACAGCAATAACCATTCTGTCATAGACTATGATATCCAGCAGACTTAAATATCAGAGACGTTTCGCAGAAGAAAACTTCCACATTAAAATTTCCCTGTGACCACTGAGAAAGAAAATGCCTCTGGAAGTCATTGACCCCTGCTTCAGGCATCAAAGCTGTTGGATAAACATTCCTACCTCCAATTTGCAGCAGAGGAAGAAGGATGTCACTTTGAAGAGATCGCCACAATCAGGAAGAGACCACAGGGAAACCATGCAGCAGAAAAAAAGTAGGGCACACCCTGGTGAAATTCTGGTGAGGTCCCTCAAGTCCTACTTACACTAAAAATATCAGCCCAGAATTCCATGCTGTTTGGCTGAGCTCTTGTCATGCTTTAGCTATGGTGAAATGGTCACAGCAAGCAACAGGAGCATTGGGTGCAAATTTGATTAGACTAGAGCACAGTAAAAGAGCTCCAAACCTAAAACCAAGGTTACATCTCGAGTATAGCTGAAAACATTGTTAAATAATGCAATATGCAGCAACTTGCTGTGCTGAAGAGCCTGGTGTTGCCTGGTATGCTTTTCCTCCACTGTCCCATCACTGGAAACCTGTGTTATGATACCAGAGAGAAATTAGATTACGAAGTTTTAATATATTTGGAGAAGGAGCAAGAAATTTGTAATGAGAGGGATGGGGTGTATTCTGTGATTTCGGTAATATAAAATCATGAAGTCCTTTTCACTAGTTTTGTCTAGGCACACACATTTCCAAAGTCTACATCATTTTAAAAGATGTCCAGTACAATTAGTTCCAAACTAGAGCTTTCTCCATTTCTGAAATATGCTCTTATTTGGGCAACTACTTGAATCATGCAGTTGTAATCTTTGCCCAAAAAGCAATCAAATGTTTTAAAAAAACAACCAACAACTGATGTTATAGTGTGTATTAGTCTTCAGTTACTAAAGTGTTAACATTTTAATATATGTTTCTTTCTTATCAAAATTATCCCTTCAGAGCTGATTTTCCATTAATACAGGTTTTATCTAAGCCATTTCCTTAAGGTTCTTTTCTAACTATTATGTCTTCAACCAGAAGACACATAGAAACACTTGTTTAATTGCAAGCTAACAAGAAGTTGCCCTTGAAAGTGACCTGAAACTACTTTTTTTTTTTTTTAATTGTTCAGGAAAAGATACTGAGAATACCAAGATGCCTAACATGTTTTGAACTTGTCTTATTTTTGGTTTTAGCTGAAATAAAAGCCCTCACTTTTGTGAGTGCAGCATTTAAATGCTTGTCCTGCTGCCTCTGTCTTATGCCGTGGCACAGTTTGGTATATCCATGGGGATTGGCAATTCTCCTGATTAGACTGAGTGTCCTGCCAGCCCAGCCTGTCTGGGTGTGAGCATCCATGCAGTGCTGTGAGCCCTGGCAAGGGCTCCTTACCTGATCAGCTAATATATAGCACGTGAGATGTCCTGACAGCCATGGAGGGAGGTATGAACCCCTGGATGAAGTGTGCAGCCCCTGCAGGGGTGTTTTCTGGGGAGAGGAGGAATGGTGTAGCTGCTGGGTACAATATGGAGCAACAATACCCACTTTGGGCCCTTGGTACAGACAGTCATTGAACAAGTTAAGATGCAGCAGCAAACCAATTGAGGCTGGAGGTAAGTAGTCAACCCCCCTGTATCATGTATTATTAAATGCCATAAAAAATATTATACCCATGAAAGAAGCATTTCTGCACTAACTAGAGTTTCTGATCAGTCTCCAGTGTTGCTGGGGAGAGGGCAGGGCCGGGCAGATGTGATGCTTGGAGACCCATCTCTGCCTCCCATAACAACTTACACAAGAAAATCCTATGGATTTAAATTTATCCCTTGTTGTATAAATGGCAAGGCTTTAAGAAGCTGATTTTGTCATGAGTGCTGGCTAGATACATCAAATCTTTTTAATGGCTGTTGGTTTCCTTAACCTGTGAGCTCTCATTAAAAAAGTAGTTAAATTGTATATATATATATATTTTTATATATATATATCTGCCTGAAAGTATTTTATATGATATATCACTGTGGCTGAAAGAGAAAGGAAGTTTCTTTGTAAATAGCAGCTGGCTGTTTTCCTTTCCTGTGCATTGAAATAAATTTCATGAATTCATTTTTGTGCAGCACAAAAAGAACTTGGAGCCCGAACATGAATAAATTTCCCTTTACGTTCGGCATCACTTCCCCCTGCACACACAGACAGAAATGCTTTCAGTATTTAAGTTCCATTTAACATGGGCGTAGTCGGAAGCAGAAAAGAAAATATAAAGAAAAGCAGCAGTACAGCAAACACATCCCAGTGAATGAGCCTGTGAGCCAGAGACAGCCTCTCCTATTTTGATTTGTAATTTGAGGATAATTCAATTAGACATTTCAAGCAATTTAAACATTCATGTATTGTCCAGCACCAAAGCATGAACTGTTCAGCAGCAAATAAGACCTGACAGCCTTAGCAGGCCGAGTGAAAATCCCAATGTTTAAAAGGAAAAGCCCTCATCTAATTGATGCCTACCGGAAAATTAAAAAAAAAAAAAAAAAAAAAAGAAGGGGCGGGGGGTGGTGCAGGAAGGTACCAGGAGAGTGAGAGAAGTACAAAGGACAGAGTGAGGGGTAAATCCTGGCTGTGGGCTTCACACCTCATTTGCAGCCATTTGCTTAACAGAATATTTCAAAGCCTGTGTGTTCCTTTTAAGGAGGGATTAAAACACAAATGCACCTGATCACCCATCTGCTCACCTCTCCAGCGGTAGCAGAAAGGCAGGCAGGCATTCAGGAGCAAAATGGGAAATTTTCATAAGCAGCTGCTTATGAAAGCCAGGTCCCTCCTGCCCACGCTCAGCCACACTGAGTTATCTGAAGGTATTGCCCCATCCCAAGGTCCTGGTGCTGTACCCAAGCAGCAGGAGGAAATCCTGTCTGGACCCATGGCCCCCTCAGAGGTGGCAGGGAGAAATCAGAGAGCAGGAAACTCCCTGAGCCTATTCCACCACAACAAGGCATCGCACAGCTCCTTGCTCAGCATCACGAGCCTGACACCTGCTGCCCTGCTCACCCTGGCTGCCCTGGCCACCAGCAACCAAATCCCTGTGGGGTAACCATGGAGTACATGGCTCTGTGCCCACAAATGGAGATATTGGCTGCTGGGGTGATAGCTTAGTTGTATTAAAACACTGGATGTAATAATAATGCAAGAATTTCAGGTGGAATTTCAAACAAGAGTGTTTCAGAGCCTTGTTTGCTTTAAACATGTTGTCCCTTGCGACCTCTGGACCCAGGGGAAGAAATGCTATTTGCCTTGTCCCCAGCAAGTTGCCCTGGAAGCAGGAGGTCACCCTAACCTATGACTGACTGGCTGGCTGGCAGGCAGGACTGCTTTGCTAGGCTTGGATTGCTCCAAGTCATTCCTTTGCTAACAACTTTTTGAGGAAGGTGATGAAAGCATCAGGAATCATCAAGTAAAACTTTTCTGGCAGGCTATGTGCCTCTGGTGTCCCTTCAACAGCCCCTCAGAAAATCTCTGGAGCAGAAAACTCACCTGTAAAATTTTCTAGGAATGTATCACACCTACCCCCTCTTCATTTTAAGCATTACACAGGACCAAGTTTGGATGGTAAAACCACAAA